TTCCATGTAAACCACTCTGCACAAGTCCTGATGCCCGGAAAATGCTCAAAAACTCTCAGTTGTTATCACTATTGTTATTATTAATAAGTGAAAACCCAGGGTTGTTCAGTGAACCACTCTGCTCCTCTTAGGGATTATGCAGAACTTTTGTGGATTCCAACTCAAAGACTTCATGACATAGAATATTAGAAACAAAAGTTGGCACTATCAAAATCTCTCAGTGATTAAAAACCCTTGGAGAGCATTTCCACATTCAAACACCAAAGGGCACATTCAGCAGCAGCTGTTTGATTAGCAGCAATAACAGTAAATGAGGCACTGAGATCCAACTCAGGACAGAAAAGGCGGCACAGGGAGGAGGCCCCAGTGGCAGGAGAGAAAGCTCAGAGGAAGGAATAGCAGTCAAGTATGACAATAGCGGTTGCAAATTTAAAGCGGAGAGAGGAAGCCTAAAGGCTTAAGAGATAGAGAATATTATGGCTGGAAGGACCTTTGGATTTAAATATAACCTGTTCATTTTGAGAGATGAACTTGAAAGTCAGGCAACAAATAGAGACCTTAAAAATGTTCATTAGACAGACAATATCTTAGAAGACATGGACTATAGGATCACCCAATAATATAGGAATTTCCTACTGATTACATGTTTAACCAAAGATAGGCAGTTGCTACTAACAGTGGGGCACAGCAAAAGTGACGTTCTCATCCCGGCTAAATCATGATTTACTGCCAAAAAATGCACACAGAGCAATAAACATGAATTGACAATGGAAAGGAAATTTGACTTGTTTGCTGAGATATTAGAAAAAGGAATCCACTCAATTGTTTCCTAATATTTTAGCAAAATACATTATGGGAAAATGTAAAATGTAATTTTCTGTGAAAAATGTAAAACAAGTCAACTTTATGATGTAAAGGAATAGGATGTTGGGGTTAAAATTGGTGAAGGCGGACGGGCAAGCATAATTCAGATGAGGTACGGCATGGTAAGCCTTCCAAATGAGGGCTAGAGAGAAAAGGCGGAAAAGGAAAGACACTGAAGGAAAACGGTAGATCATACGGGAAAGAGGTACGTGCTTCTCATATCAATGAATACCGCACTATTCTTTCGTGAGCAAAATAAAGAAATTAAAGGAGCATAAGCTTCATCAGAATGCTTGCTCCTGACTGAAGCAGAGGAATGCTGACAAATATTTCCATCTGTACTTGCTCTTTCCCCTTTTTCCTAGATTTTTGTTTTGTTCTGTTTTAATTTCTCCTTTCACCTCACTAAAGCTGAGGGACTTCTGGAAACAGCTAGAAGACCAGGCTTCAGAGTTAAAATTCAAGAATGCACTTGGTTTAAATGAATGAAACCTGTACTTTCACAGAACAATAGTGTTTATTCATTTTAATGAAGGGAACAGATTGAAAGGAAGAGTTTGCAGAAAACTACAGCAATGTTGAGGAGAGGAGAGACAGAAGACCCGAACCCTCCCCAAACACCAGGCCTAAACCACTGACTCTCACACAACTGGTTTGTGAAGAAATGCTGCTTTGTAAATGACGTAAGAGATTTTTTTAAAGAAATTATTTATATTTCTTGTCAATTATGTCAGTTCTCTGATTCGCTTCATATATGTTCTCTATCAAAAGAACGGCATGTAGAAAATGTCTGTAGGGCCTGGGACTCCCATGTTCAGTAAAAGCCCCCAGGTCCATTGCAACCATGTGTCCTTCGGTTCCCTTCTGGGCAGGCCGCCCAGCTGCTGGGATTGGCAACAATCTAGGGCCTGGCCAGCCTGGATCCTCCCTTATCTCAAGTGAAGAACATCACGTCTTCCAGGGACACAGCCCCTCCATGTGAGCTACTGTTGCTGGGAACGCTGGTCGTAGCAAGGACAGCCCCTTGGCAAGCATGCAGCTTTTGCTCCTCTGCCTAGTTAAGCAAGCTGCTCTCAGGGGGCGGTAGCGGGTGCGCATTGCTGTCCAGCTGGCCACCACCTGACCTTTCCTGTAAGTAACTCCTGATAAACCCATATGTCTCGTTTGCTGTCTCCAGGTCTTTTCTTTGGTCTCTCAGCAACCTATCCTACACTGCTCACCCAGATGGGCATGTGGTGGAACAATGTCCCAATATGTTTCAGTAAATTTGTTGACCGAGTCATTCACCACTGTGATATTAAATACAATAAAATAAGCAAGCACCATTTTTTTCCTAATCCATATGCAAATCGGTTAGCTTTACAGAAAGTTTTGACCTTTGTGTTTGTGGATTTGTTTATAAAGAAGTACTCAAGTGTCCATATTTTTCCTTCTCATACTAAAACAAAGTTTGAAGGAGTGGATTATTAAAAGTATTCTTTTCTGCATTGAAATATAACTCTCCTTAGTTGTTATTTCATATCTATTTGCTCCTAGTTCATATTTATTTTTACTATAAAGACAATGAAAATAATCAGATGAAAAGCATCAAAATCATGGAGTATAAAAGAAAATGTAAGAATGCATTTAGTTGTTACTCTCATTCCAAGTCTTGTTGTTACTAGCCAAGTCTACTTGCCGTTTTTTTCAAAGAGCTAAAAAAGTCTAATATTATGATTGACTTGTTCTTTGATTTAACTTTCAATTCTATCTCTGAAGAAAGATAACAGCAGACTACAATTAAAAGTAGGTCAAATTCAGTATAAAACAATGCAAAGTTTCAAAGCTTTACTCAGAGTCAACGAGAGAAAAAGATTATTAGGACAATTATATTTAATCACGTAGAAAAAATAAGTCATTGATTAATCTGTTTAAAACCTGCTCTTCAATCAGCAATATAGAAAAAAAGAAAAAAGTACTTTTTTGGTAAATTAGCTGTTTTTGTTTTCTTTTTTAACTAAAGCTTTTTTCTCTTTCTAAACGAAGAAAACAAAAAAAAACTACAGACACATAGAGCAGTTAATATTTATCCCAAATAACTTATTATGAAAGAATTTGGTTTTAACTCAAACTTTTAATTCTGCTTACATACTAATGTCTCTACTTGGAAGCCCAGAACATAATCCTAAAAGTAAAGTGGAACGTACTGGGTAGTGATTTTAATATCAACACTTGGGAGGTAAAATTCTTCCATAGCAAATATTTGTATTACTCCTCTCATTCCAGCAACGTCAGTAATATCGCAATATAAAGAGCAAGGTCACAATATTCTCATCATTAATTCCAGGTCACATGAAATGTATCTTATCATTTAACTACTTCCTGACTCAACTCCAACTTTGTTTCTACGGCTTTCTTCCTTTTTCTCCCATATAAATGTGATACCATTTTTACCCCCTGTGGAAGTATGAGAGAGATAATATTGTATAAGCAAGAATGATCTGCGTCCGATCTCTTGGCTATAAATCTTGATCTGTCATTGCCCAGCTCTGTCATCTTAGGAAGTTGAGAGAATTTTAATAGGGCTTTGAAGATGTAATAAGATAAAACAAGAGATTCCAAGCATAGTGTCTGACATAAAAATCAAGCTCCTTTACAACAGCTAAAAAATCAAGTCCCATAATGAATACAGTTTAGTTGTTAAGTAGAAGTCAATGCATTTATGCACAACTTTAGCCTCTGAATTATCTAGAGTAATTTTAAATTAAAAGTGTTTTTGAATACCTGTGAGGGGACAGGCTCTGAAATAAGAGTTTTCTCCTTTGAGCTCACTATCACAACAGCCTTGTGACACATCCACTGGAAACATCTTTTCTACTTCCTAGGAAGGAAAATCGAGTCCTGCTAATTCTGGGAATCTCTACACTGGGGAAGTGGAACGAATTCTCTGATAGACAAATCTGGGAAGAGTGTCTCCTTACCTCCTCTCTCTTCTTGCTTGGAAGGAGCTGACCTACAGAGAGCACTACTTGTCCTCTTCCTACCTTTTGGAGCCTTGTCCTGGATGCCCCTCTTTTGGGAGACCTGATCTGGTTTACAGGTGCCTTGGCCCTCGTTACTAAAGCTGCCTCGTAATGGGATATATTTATAAAGCCTCTTAGCTGCCACATTCCGTGATGTCCTCTATCACTGACTGGATTTGGTCTCCATCTTTGCTGTTTGATTATTTCTCAGATTGTCCAGAACCCAGATAGTGCTGTTTATTCAGTGCACCCTCAACTATTCCAATATTAAACATAATCTTCATTGCCAAACAAGAAACAGTGTTCAGAGAAAGAAAGGAACTTCCTCGAGTTCCCAATGCTTGTCTATAGCAGATTTTCAACCTGAAATATTTTTTATATATTTAGTTTATTGAGATATAATCCACACAGCAAAAATTGCTTTTCAGCATATTCACAAATTCGTGTAACCATCATTATCTACCTCCAGAATATTTCCATCATCGTCAAAAAGAAACTCCATATCCATTAAGAGTCACCCCCATTCCTCCCTCTCTCTGCTCCTGGCAACCACGAATAGACTTTCTGCTTCTATAGATTTGCCAGTTCTGGACATTTCATATAAATTGAATCATATAATACGTGCCCTTTTGTTGTCTGGCTTCGTTCACTTAGCATAATGTTTTCAAGGTTCATTCTCATTGTAGTATGTGTCAGCATTTAGGAGATACTTTAGACAACAAGAAATCATTAGTTTTACACTTGAGAGAGAAAATGAATATTTGTTTTTCCTACTTTAGAAACTTTAGCTATTATGACAGACATTGGAAACCTTACATATCAGTTTAGCTAAAAACCTGGAGTGTGTTTAAAACATTTTATTTGTTCTCATGGTGACAAATTGATCTAATAACTGAAATACTAATGTTTGAAAAAAATAAGAGGGTTTTCATAAAAGTTTTCTAAACTCCTTATTGTAAACAAGTATTTTTTAGTAAATGTGTCGATACGCAGCTTCAGTTTTCTAACTTTTAGTTGAGAGACAGACAATATTGACTGTGAAATGACTGGTGACTGGAGAGGATGACAAAGGAGAATCATTACCTCTTCAGTGAACAAGGTCTGACTCTATCATTCTACAAAGAAGGCACTTACAGCTTACTGGAAAGTGCTGGGAGGTCACGAACAATCTCTTCATACGGCTCCTCCTCCTGTGCTAAGGCAGGAACCGATAAAGGCTCCTTCATTTTTTCTTCCCAGGCAATTTCGGCTTTCAGCAACATTTCCTCAATATACTCAGATGCAGCGATATCTACAAGAAACAATAAGAAAATCAGAAAAAGTGGGTGTAGATAGCACAGAAAATATTTACTTTCGCTAATTCTGAGATGCCTAAAATGCTAAAGTTTATCAACACAAGAAACAAAATGAAAAACATTAAAAGTTTCCAATATGAATAAAATTGCAGTCCTGCCATTTTAAAACACTACCTTGTTTTGCATCAGTGACATTTAATTACCAATGAAATAAAAAAATATAAAAATAATATTCACTGGGTGGTGATGTGTAAAGCATAAAATCATTGAGAAGCTAAGCTTGAGCGAACTTAGTGTCACTTTATTCTCAGTGAAACTCTTCCTTCGTCTCAGTGAATATGAATCGAAATGGTGAGAACAGTTATGCCTTCCCAGCACCTGGTGATTTTAAAACACGTAGGAGGTAGTCTGTAAACAGTCTCCTAAATGGGCAGACATACAAATAAATACTCAGTTTGCTATTAAAACAGTGGGTCTAGCCTCTCTCCATGATCTGTTTTTTTCCCATCTGAAATATAAATAATTATATTAAGTTACAAATTACACATTAACAGTGACAGCTGAACATATTTGGGCAGGAATATAGATGTGATTACTCAAATTTACACTTATTAACAACTGAAACTGAAAATCAATAAATCCTGAAGAAAAATTCACATTAATAACAATTAAGAACCTAATGGAGGTAACTGCTCCTTTTCAGTAGTCATGACTAAACTGCACGATCACCTACATCTATAAATTTGAGTTATGTGGCTTTACAGGCGAGCTGAGGTAATTCAGCCACCACAGCAGATATTCACACCAGGATTTCATCACCATTTGCCTTCGGTTAAATATATCTGCATGATGAGTTAGGAGAGCTCAGCTTCCTCACCGTGGAAGATTATTTCTGTCCCACCCAAGAGATATACCTCAAACTGCTTTTATCCCCCAGATAATTTTGTTATATATCCATTCCAAATTCCAGAAACACAAAATAACAAGAATATAACAGATTATTGGTGATGATTTTCACTCGCTCAGTCATAAGGGTGCCTAGGTCACTGATCTCTTCACTATTGCTTTTATCGGATTCACTCTTCTTGCTGTTGGATGGGATGCTGGCACAGCCTGCGTTTACTTGAAACCTCTCACTGCATTAGAGCTCTTCGTCCCCTGTGTGTGAGAGAAGTATTTTCACTCAATCAACATACGTTTATTGAGAGTCACTAAGGTCCCATCACTGTGTCTCTCATGCTAATATGGCATGGAAAAGGGATGACACTGATGGTAGCCTTTGCATGACCAACATGGACAAAATTTTCTAAGAGAGTCATCATACACCAGGTCCGAGGTGACCAGGGCTGAGTCTACATGAGCAGTTTAGTCATTCACTGGGGCTTTAGGACAGTCAATTGTCAGTTGCCTTGGATGTCGGTTTTGGCACAGTTGACACTAGACCTAAGAGGTGAACGTGTGACTGGTGAGAGTCCAGGCAGCCAAGGCTCAATCATTTCTCCCTTCCCTGGGAAAGAAGCCAGGGATATGAACGAGAAAAAAGTCATCTTCCTTTGGAACTAGAGGACATGACTTATATTTCTCAATAAATACAGTTTTGAAAAAAGATAGAGAAAAGCTATAAATGGCTATTAACTCTTTCAATATTTACCATTAGGCATACTTTTGTAGATGATGTTAATATCCCTACACTATCACTAACATTAGCCTGATCTAAAGTGTCAGACTATTAAGCTATCTCATAGCGCTATTTGTTAAATCTTCAGTTTATTTTAGCAGAGAAGACGAATAAACATTAAACAAGGACACTTAATTCCCATAAAATAAGAAATAGAGCAAATCCCTCATCCTGTCTTAAACCGGAGGTTTATCAGGTAACCACACTCCCAAAGGTACAGCAAATACGAGGTCTCGGTATAAAGTGTTTTCAGGCAAGTAGAGGCATAGCAACAAGAAGAGTAAGTAGAAATAAGTCATTCAGATCAATTACTGCCTTCAAAATTGTTATATTATCTTGTTACTTATGCTGGACTTTTCTCTTCATTATTTAGAAATCTTTTATTCTTAATATACCAAAAATAACATGATTAGTAACTTTGTTGTCAAATTTAAAAGCTAAAAAATGAATGTGGCACCCATTTTTTAAATAAGTATATGAATATATAAAAGAACAGTGGTAAACAGAACTCTAGATATTTTCAAAAAGATATCTGTTAAGGAAGAGTGACATTAAGATTTTCAAAGTTTTAAATTAGGTTGAGAATGAATGCTAGATTCTATTTCTTGCGGTACAAATATCTGTGCAGAAAAATTACTATTATTGTTTAAAATAACACGCATGCATTTGGTATAATGAGAAACTAGTTAAATAATGGCAAAAATATATTCTAAAGTAAGTGACGCTGCAGGAATCCCTGTCCTGGAAGTTTAAAGCGGGAAAAGCCAATTGCAGTGAAGTCCAAGGGGACTCTACCATTTAACTGCTCTCGAACATCCTCTTGTCATGAGCAGCGCTTACGAGGGTGTGAATCCTGCTAGAACTGGGGTGGTGTTCACAGAGCTTCGCAGGAGAGGCTGACTCTCATCTCCAGCTATGCTCATGAAGAATGACTTACACATGACGGGAAGGGAACAACAGAACCGCACACAACCTACCTGAGGCCTTCTCTTCATTGCAGTTCAGAAGGTTCGGATTTGCCTGATGCATCAAAAGAAGTTTCACCAGGTTTGTCTGAAACATTAAAGATAATTGAAATAGGAGACACCGGGCTGGGTAGTGAAGGTTCATCAGTAAATAACACACAGTCGCGGCCTCGAAGGGGCACTTCCATTGGAGTGGAGTGAGAATGCCTTAGCATAACCTACTAGGCTAAATGCTTCTTACTCTCCCCATTTCCAGTTCCTTCTTAAAAAACGACAGATTTTCAAACTATTTCAGCAATGAATGCATTCAAACCAAAAATTACTTATCAAATAAGGGAGGAATTGCTGAGGATTTGAAAAGGTTCACTTAACACTTTCTAGGTTTACTTCAGGGCATCTTATGGGAGGAACTATATGATATAGTATGCTTTGTTTTGTTTTAACTTAGCAATCCATGAAAGTCTCATTTATTGATACTCTTCATTCATTCCAGCACCGTGGACAAAATGAACCTAACGTCACATTGGAGAATTAGAAAAACCTAACCTCATGCTGCAAGAATGAAGCAATTGGGTGAGAGACTAATATATTTTTAATATTTTATTATAAAATATATCATACCTACAAAGAGTATATATAACATATATGTACCATTGAGCAAGTAATGAAATAAATTCCAGTGCACCCAACTTTTTAAAATGTCATTCATGGTATCTTTGTGTTCCACCCCAAAATTATCCCTCTCCATATTTCCCAGATTTGACCACCATCATGAATTTGGGGCTGACCATTATTATGTTTTCTTTACATGCTTAGACCTTATGTAAGAAAACATCCCTAAACAACATATTGCTTCATTTCATCTGTTTGTGACATTTATAAAAATGAAATCCGAGTGTACATATACTTCTGTGCTTTGCTTTTGTGGCTTAACATTGCACATTTGAGCATCCTCAGAGATGATGGGTTTAACCAAGCTTCATTCATTTTTTTTCCTTTTTTTTTTTTGAGGAAGATTAACTCTGAGCTAACATCTGCTGCCAACCCTCTTTTTGCTGAGGAAGACTGGCCCTGAGCTAACATCATGCCCATGTTCCTCTACTTTATATGTGGGACGCCTGCCACAGCATGGCTTGCCAAGCGATGTGTGGGTCTGCACCTGGGATCTGAACTGGTGAACCCCAGGCCACCGAAGCAGAATGTGCAAACTTAACTGCTGTGCCACCGGGCCAGCCCCTTTATTTGTTCATTTTCTTGGTTGCACAGAATTGCATTGTACAAATATATCACAATTTATTCCCTTCTCTCAGTGAAAGCCATATGTAAGGCATTTATTTATTTTTATAAATAATGCTGCTATAAATATACTAGTTTATATATCTTGGTGCATGCATGCACGAGTTTCTTCAGGATATATATACTTAGACATATAAAACACTTACATTAAGTATGGAAAAATGTCTCTAATTTAAAGTCTCTAATTTTCTTGTTCTTTTTCAAGATAATTTTGTCTATATTAGGTACTCTGCATTTCCATATACATTTTAGGATGAACTTTTCAATTTCTGTAAGAAAGGCTGTAGGATTTTGATTACGATTTCTTTAAATAAATAGATACTATATTAGTTTTACATGGCTTCCTTAATAAATTACCACACAGTTGATGGTTTAAACAATAAAAATTTATCATCTTACAATGCTGCAGGTCAGATGTCTGACACAGGTCTCGCTGGGTTAAAGTTAGGGTCTTGGCAGCACTATGTCCCCTTCTGGCTGTAAGGGCAAGTCTATTTCTTGCCTTTTCCAGCTTCTAGAGGTCACCACATTCCTTGGCTTGCTGTCCCTTCCTTCATCTTCAAACCAGAAACATTGTCTCTCTGACCATTTTTTACATAGTCACATCTCCCTCTGACCCTCAGCCGGAATGATTCTTTGCTTTTAAGGACCCAAGTGATTACATTGGAACAACCAGGGTAATCCAGGAAGGTCTTCGCATCTGGAGATCCTTAACTAACCACAACTGCAAACTTCTTTGCCTTGTCAGGTTCTGAGGATTAGGGTGTGGGCATCTTTGGGGGCCACTATTCTGCCTCCTACAGAGATCTTAATAATATTCACCATTTCAACACATGAATACGGCTTACCTCTCCATCTATTTAGGTCTTCTTTAATTTCTTACCGCAATGCTTTATAGTTTGCAGTGCAGAAATCTTGTACATCTTTTCTTAAATATATTCTTATATATTTTATGTTTTTAATGCTACTGGAAACAACCTTGATAAATTCAATTAATGATTCTAGTTTTTTAATTTGGGGGAGATTCCTCTGGAATTTTTATTCTCCTTTCTTCTTTCCTAACTTTGTCTTTCGTTTCCATTTCTTGCTTTATTACATTGGTTAGAATGGGACTGGCTTTTCCAATCTGTGGGGTTTTTGCTTTTGTAACACTTGCTGTGGCCTTCTCCACCCAGGCAGAGCTTCTCGTCGAGGACTTCCAAGGTACCTCCCCATCCATCGATTATTGCTTTTGTTAGTGTTCTTCTTATAAAATTAATTAGGTTTTAAATAGTCTGTCCCATTGCTAGCTTTCCCACAAGCCCATTCAAAATCATTGTTTGGTTTTACAGAGCACAAATTATTTCAGTAACACTTAAATCATGTTAAGGAGAATGCTTACATTCAGAAGTTTGCTTTTATTTCCAAATATATACAGTTTACTAAAGAAAGAGAAGTTCTCTTGGAATCTGAAAGAAGAAATACATACAGAAAATTCCTAGGACATTAAAATAGGTACAGGAATGAGTTTTGTTTTATATTAAAGATCTGAGAGATTTGCTTGCTTTTAAACCATAGAGAAGGAAGAAATGGATGGAGGGAGGAAGGGAAGAAGGAAAAGAATAATGGAGAGCGGGAGGGAGGGCTGAAGGAAGGAAAAGGAGTAAGGAAAGGAGAAAAGCAGGAAAAAAAAAGGAAAACCAAAAATTAGGCAAGCTTGACTTTGTTTTTCACAAATTTGAAAGAACAGCAGTAAACCTAAAAGCATTTATAGCTTTTCAAAAACGTCAGACTTTCAGGAAATCTACCAATTCCTTTGCATTTCTGAGTTCAATTCAGTCTTTGCGGAATTCCAAAGAGAAACTTGTGCAATCAGTCAACAGACCCCTCTCTCCACAGCTACAACTGTAACTGCAGAAAGCATTTAGGTCATAAAAGCAAAATGCTTCTTACATGAAAAGCTTTAGCAATAAAAGTAATTCTATTTTATTTCCCGCTTGTAAAAATAAACATTCATGTGCAGAATGAGGAAGCTTCTCTCACTCGGGGAATTCCTTTCTTTTTGTTAAGTTTGTATTTCCCGTGCATTTCCAATTAGAAATCAGTGAAGCACACCACAGAGATCAGCTGAGCTGGCCGGTGCTCATTTCAATGACTCTACTCTAGAACATTTGTTTTAACCTCACAAAAGATCTTTAGGTAAATTACTTCAAATGCAAATAGGTAGTGTGTGTAGCCCAGTGAGAATTCATCTCCATTATCAAAAGAACTTTATAATTGCCAAAGCTATCAGAAGTTAAGGTGACTTTCTGTGCATATCTGTGTGTGTGTGTGTGTGTGTGTGTGCCCGTTAAAGGAGACTCTACATGCTAATATATTTAAACTGAAATTTAAATTCACATAAGTTGCTGAATACATAGTTTATTCATTCTTTGGATAGTTTTATTTCGGTTTGGTTAAATTTAACGATATTAATTCCTTGGTGGTCATGTAAATTATCTCTCTAAAAAGTGAAAAAATAGCCATGAGTTTTTGGAGATAGTTGAATTCCCCGTTCGTTAACTTTCACTTAAATTAATAAAGGGAAATTATAACATTAAAGGTCTGTGGGAATTCAGAATTTGTATATCCCATGCTCATTGGGACATACTCTACATTGTAATGAGCAAATGTCTCTAACTCAGAACTACCTGAAGGATTTCAGATCTAAAATATAAAAACATGTAAGAAATTGTTAACATTAACTCTATTTGTGATTCGACTATGATTCCTCATCAAACAAGTAGTTCTGCCTTCACCCCTCAACATACATGCTTTCTAACCCCACCAGTACTCTGCACAATTGTCCGCTCTCTTTCCGGAAACATGCCTCCTTCACTTCCCTGCAGCAGCCTCATTCTCCTACGTCCATTCCTCCGCAGACTCCTCCAAAGGAACAAGTCTTATACTGTTAAATATGGTGTTGCTCACTGCACTTCGCTCTTGCTTGAACTCCTTTTCCATCGTGCACGATTTTTTTGAGTAATCTGTCACAGATCTCTATTTCCAGCTCTACCCAAAACCTTGCACGTGCCCAAGTTGTCTCCTGGATATCTCTGTGAGGATTTCTCCCACTGACGAACCAGTGTCCAGGTGTGTGCTCACTCACTTGCTCTTCACACATTGATTCAGTGATGCATTGAGAAAGACCAGCATCTGCTAAACTAGGACATCTCTTGATTCGACTGTTAATAAATGGTAACTGAGTACTCTGTGTCAAGCCCTGTACTGGTAAAGAAGTAGATGCTGTACCTGCCCTGAGTTCTCACAGACTAGAGGGTGATACGGACAAATGAAGAGACAATTCCAACATGTTGTGATAAGCGATGTAATGTGGGAGATAGAGGGTGTTATGCAGGGTGTGTGAGCAGAGCCATCACATCCAAACCCAGGAAGTTAGAGTAGACAGCTGGCGAAGTGACATCTCAGTGTGGTCCTGCAAGGTAAGTGAGATTTAACCACTTACCAATTTCAGGAAAAGCAAAGAACATGAAAAGGATGTACACAGTGGCATATTCCAGAAATTGAAAGAAGCTCAGTACAGATATATCCTCCAGCCTGGTGGGGGGGAGGCAGGGGAAATAAAGCTGGAGAATTACGCAGAAGCCCAGGCACATGGTGCTCATAAACTGTGTTATGGAGTGGGCATTTCATATCAACAGCACTGGAAAGAATGTTGTGTTGAAATAGTTTGATGATGTTTGCATTTGGAAAGATCACTGTAAGTGAATTGTTGAGAACAGAGGGGAGAAGAGGCTGGGTTAGGAGGCTGAGGGGTTAATCTTGACTTAGACATGCTGATGCACTGGAGGAGGGTAGAGGCAGTGAGGCTGTACAGACTGACTGATCATGCTTATAGTTCAAATAGCTTAAAACTATTTAGTAGGTAGAAGTTTGTGGGCTGGGTGGTTTATTAGACATGAAAGAAGAGAGAGAGGTAGAAAAGAGGATAATGCCCAATTTTGTGATGAGTAAATGATAAATCAGAGAAGGAATAACAATTTGGGGTTGGAGAAAAGAAGATGATAATTCCCTTTGTAAACAAGTTGAGTTTGAGGACAGATTGATAGAGATTTCCCACGGGGCAATGGTCCTCATGGGTCTGGAACACAGAGAGAAACAGAAGAAGGCTTCGGGAGTCGTGAGCATGTAGAGAATTCGAAACTGCAGGCTTGGAGACTCCCCAAGGGCATGCAAACACTGAGAAGAGCTGGAAGCTAGGGCAGAGCAATGGATTCATCAATCCCATATGCTCAGAAGGGTGGGAGGAAAACCAGAGAGTGTGTATATCTTTTCCAAAGCAAAGAAGAAATATTTGAAGGAAAAAAACACTCTGACTATGTCTCAATTCTCATCTACTTGGGTAAAAATGTATTTGAGAACACAAACGACTCCTTTGAACATCAAGATATGCAGGTTGTATGACACAAAACACTTCTGAAGGGAGGATATTAGATTTTAGAATTTGTAAAATTATTTTCCTATCTTTTGTTGTAGTATCTCCAATCCCATTATAAACATTAAAAATACGTACAAGGCTAGAATCAAATTTTATGTCCAATTCATCAAATTTTATTTTATGTACAACTCAGAAAAGAATCGTAAAACCTAAAGATTTATTGCGCACATAAAGGATTCAGTTCCCACTTTTAAACGAGAACAGTCTTCTTTTTCTCACTGGAAAAGTTAATATATTTCTAAAATGAAGTTTTAAACCATATACGCCATCCCAGTATAAATATAAATAATAAATATTGCTATAAATGATGAACTATCTTCTCCATAAAGGTATTTATATTTGTAAGATATTTATAGGAAAGTGAAATTGATATGAATGTCTCAGAAAATACCATTAGTCTGTCTAAAATGTTAGCATTTCTAAACCCTTTTTTTTCTGAACTGAGATACATTTATTTACAGAAAAGTTTTTAGAGTTATAAATCTCCCATGCATACAAACTGATATTCAAATAAAACCTGTTTCTAAAATATCATTTCCAAAATGAATATTAAATAGTATTTTTATGAGTGAACAATTTTTAAAAAATAATTTGATATCATATGGTATTTTCTTTTCTTTTTCTTTTGTGAGGAAGATTAGCCCTGAGCTAACATCTGCTGCCAATCCTCTTCTTTTTGCTAAGGAAGACTTGCCCTGAGCTAACATCTGTGCCCATGTTCCTCTACTTTATATGTGGGATGCTGCCACAGCGTGGCTTGCCAAGTGGTGCCACATCTGCATCCGTGATCTGAACCGGAGAACCCCGGGCAGCTGAAGCGGAACATGGAAACTCAACCACTGTGCCACTGGGCCAGCCCCTCATATGGTATTTTATTGACAAAATAATCGAGATACAATTTACTTAAAATTTTCTATTAACATAGATCTCTTAGTAGTTCTTGTAGTCTGAATCCAGGAAGAATATTTAGATTTTGGTGTCATATATTCTAACAGGAAATCCTCACTCTAGCTCTCTGTGTTAGAGCTTTGCCTCTAGTTCTCAGTTCATCAATTTGCCCATTGAATTCCTTCAGTCACCCTGCTGGACACTGGGACACCACGGTGGGGAACGCAGCTCAAGACCCTGGTGTCTGGAGCTTATGTTCTGGTGGAGACCCCATTCAAGTATGTATAATGGAGCAAAATAGAAAAGACACATATGATCTTCAGACTCTATCCTTGGTACTGAAATGTATAAGGATTTAGAAAATCTTGAATTAATGGCTAGTCATTTTCTAGAGAAGCAGAGGATAAAGGTGAGATTATTTTTAAAATATGCCTCATTTGCATGTTATAAATGATAATTTCTGGAAAATTTTGTGTTGGTTATCTGTCTGTACAAATCTAGCAAATGTATCAACTGCCCAGGACACATCCCCAGGGATGTTCAGCTTGTTTGATGCAGTCACCTTCATCATTCTCAACAATCTTCTATGTAAAATTCCTCCTTTCAACAGAGGTTGATGGTTCTCATTGATTGAAGATCCTGGGGGCCACACTCTATGGGAGAGGAATTATTGAGGCTTGTTATGTTCACACCGCCAGCAAGTGGTAGAGCTTGTGCTCAGAGCCAGCCAGCGAGGAGGACATGGGAGTCCTCAGAACAAAGCTGGCTTCATCACGTAGTTGAGCAGAATGAAATATAGGCGTGTTTGTATGGGGGAGTATCTGCGAAATAGCAGAAAGAATAGGGGACCCTAAAAAAATACATTGTTTTTTAAGAGTTGGGGTCAAATATTTTGCAGCTGGTTTAAAAAAAATGGAGCAATCGGAAAGTGTTTAATTCACCATTAATAAATGATGAATGTTAGAAATGTAGCTGCTACACTGGAAAAGTAGTAAGAAAAATATCAATCTTAATTACTCTGCATCTAGCAAAGTAAATGCAACTTTTGAATCATATTTCCATATAAGTTCATGACTATGATCCTCTAGGCTGCAAACATAGATTTAGAAAACCTAAAGTTTGGGAAATTTTTCAAATGTGACAGGTAATGGGGTGAGAGTACGGATATCCACTAGTTCTCTCTGCCTTATCAGTCAACGATTCCTCTAGCTGTTGACTTTTGTGTGATGAGAATCTCCAGGAAGCTTTATGAAGGAAGAGGCAATTGCATTGGCCTTATGTTCCTATGTCGCCAAGGCTTGGCAGGCATCATGCTTGGCATATATGTTAGTCATTAAATTATCTTTTTATTGTTAAATGTAACTGTGTTTATTAAAACCAATTGCAAACCTTTTCACCATTTAGCCAATCTGTTTTATTAGTTTAATATATTCATCAATCTTTTGCCATGTTTATATAAATCATGTCTTTCTGTGACACAAATTTAATCTGACTCTGATCCTGTCTTTTAACACTTAACATATAATAAACCTCAATTATAGGCACTTTAAAAAAGTAGTTTCTTGGGTAGAAGTTTCCATTTCTGCAGAGTAGGGTTTCTTATGGATCCCTGAAAGGTCCATTCCTTATTTTCACAGAGAACTCTTGGCCTCTGAAATGGTAGGCATACTTTCTGTGTCTGTGCATTTCTTGCAAAAGGATCGGTATCTTTATCTGTCTGCCTAAGGGATAAATTTCTGATAACCACTAATTCTTTCTGTCTTAATCAGTACAGCTCCCAGGAATTGGAAGTGAAACATCTAGATGTTTCTGCAAAATATGAGTGATAAAAAACTGGTTACATTTAGGCATGTTTAACGCACAGAACCAAAGACAGCAATAGATGCCTTATAATGGAACAGTTATTTAAACCAATCTTCATTTCTACTCTGCCCCACAGGTGGGTTTCATGTGGAAATAATCATAAATTAACTTCTTTTCATCATTCTTTATCAAGCTTTACAAGGTTTTTAGAAATAAGCATTTTTTTTTCAACAGAAGCAGTTGTTTTAAAACACACGAACTTAGACTGGTTTCCTTCTGGTCCTCCTCGCTACCTACAATAAAGCCTGGAAATAATAAGCGCCTCAAGAAGAACTCTGAAGAGTGGAAGGAGGAAGGTGAACTGGCTCAGGATCCCTGGAAGGGAGGAGTCGCAGAGGTGCAGGGCAACCTACGTCCTCCCATCCAATAGGAGAAGGCACCCCCAGACTTGGTATTTCCCAGCCCAACCCAGCAACAGAAGGGGGCCAGGTAGATGCATCCTTCCCCCATTCAAACCATGTCCCTTTGACAGCATCAGGTGAGTCCAGCACCATGACCGGCTAACACTAAGTGCCAGGGCAAGTGCTCTTCTTCCACTGAGCCTGAGATTCCCCTCCCCCATGAGAAACAAGGATGGCTGGGAGGAGGCACCTGCAGGAGGGAGCATACCCACAGGCTCCAGCCCTGAAAGACTTTATGTCCCCGTGGAGATTCCCCTACCTGACCCAGAGACTTGGGATATCCCAGCCTGGGGAAACCCCTCCCACCCATTTGGGGGCACCAAAAGGAATCAGTAGGAAGCCCAGGGGCACCAGACAAACCAAGCAGACCAAAATAACACCTCAAAAGTCTGAAAATTAAACTACCATTGGAACCACAGCCCACTCAAGTAGACAAGGACCTGCGATGCTGAACTTCAACAGGGTGACTGCCTGCTAAAGTAGAAGATTTGTATAGGACCAAGATTCTCCAACATAATAGCCAAAATGCCCAAGATAGGGTTAAAAATCACCCATCATACCAAGGTCAGGAAATCACAACTTGAACAAGAAATGATGATTAACGACATCAACAGCAGGATGAATCATGCTAGAATTATGAGGATGACTTTAAAGCAGCCATCATAAGAACGCTTCAACAAGTAATTACAAATGCTCTTGAAACAAATGAAAAAATAGAAAAACTCATCGAAGACATAGAAGTTATAAGAAAGGAAGAAATGGAAATGATAGAACTGAAAAATCCAATAACAAATAAAATATACCAACTCATACCAAATATTTCATTGGACCTGCAACCAAACAAAAAAACCCCACATACTAGGTTCTGATAACAATCATTAAAACGTCTAGTAACAGAAATAATGACATATTTAGTCCAAGGCATATCTTTATAACAACGTTGTTAAATCTAGTCCTATTCCCCTAGAATTCACTATGTTCTGAAAGTGAGTAAAGGGAACCGATTTGTTACTCTTTGAAATGACGTCTGACCCCAAATTTAAAAGTCCAATCAGGAAAAGTGAAAAATTAGGTAAAATGAAAGCCTAATCCATTCAAGCTCGGGTAGTGTTCTGTTACATTTTACCAAGCTATCACTCACTTCCAGATTTAGCTCCTTCCAGAAGCAATTCCTGACAATAATGGGCACGTTTTGATAATTCACTGATTACCATTTCTTCAGCACATGCCAACACGTTGTATTCTAAGAAACAGTACTTGCTTACATGTTCTCTTCTCTATTTTTTTTACCAATGACAAAACTTCTCACCTGGTGTATCCCAGTATGCTGCTGTGGCAGAAATGGAGTACTGATGTATTGATGTTGTACTGAGGTATCTATCCCCCAATACTCCAGTAGTCTAGTGCGACTTGGGGACCCTGGATATCTGAGGCCAATGACTTCAGCCACCTGCAGCCTCATCCCCTTAATCCATCCATTTACTTACACACACTCACTTGCTAAAAGCACATTTTGGGGGTTGTTAATAGCCTGTTAAAAATATTTATTGAGGGGCCGGCCTGGTGGCACAGCGGTTAAGTGCGCACGTTCTGCTTTGGCGGCCTGTGGTTCACTGGTTCAGATCCCGGGTGTGGATGTGGCACTGCTTGGCACACCATGCTGTGGTAGGCGTCCCACATATAAAGTAGAGGAAGATGGGCATGGATGTGAGCTCAGGGCCAGTCTTCCTCAGCAAAAAGAGGAGGATTGGCAGTAGTTAGCTCAGGGCTAATCTTCCTCAAAAAAAAAATTATTGAATTAATCTTTTTCTAAAGAAATATTGTCAAAGCAAACAATGTTCTTACTAGTTTGAAAGATCTTCCCTAAGCAATGTGTTTTTTCTAAAATACTTGAAATGCAAACACTTTCAATTCTTTCAACAATGACACTACTCAAATTTTATGATAGATATTTTGCATACCAGTTGGTATTTAAAGAATTTAACTTACTATAAATTCAATGAATGTGCTTCTTACCCCAAACTAATGTTTGGAAATCAACAAGTTTAGCTGCAATATCCATATATATGGAAAACTGAGTTATTTTTCACACTATTACTACTAAGAATTCTCTAACACAAAACATTATACAAATTTTATAAGTTGATTTTAATATCAGTGAGTTATTATGAACATTATTCAATCACATTCACCCATACAAATAATTTAAAAATAAGTTGGAGTTTACTTCTTCTTCACAATATAATGGTACCTCACAAGAAATTAACTTGTACAATAGTAACTCAAGATGTATTAGCTATAGTCAAAAATCAATTCAGAGGAAGAACTCTGCTACCCATCCTTCATTCATTAAAATGAAACGTAATTTATAGAGAAAACTAAAATTTAATTTTGCTTTACACCTGCTAATTGTAGAAAACAACAGAATTATTGCAGACTCAAGCAATTGTAAGCTTATAAGGCTATATAACATTAAGAAAATAGTATTAAGTCCATTCTATAAAGAATGTTTACAAGTTTCGATTATTTCTCCACTGATTTTGATTACAATATACAGAATCCTCAGGGATGTAGATTATTATGTGTCCTTCTAAATGTTTTTTTAACCATAAAAGTATTTGTTTAGTAAAGTGATGTGTTAAAAGTCAAATTACATATGATTAGTGCATGATTTTAAATAAAAATAAAACTAAATATGAAATGATACATTGATTATAAAGTGATTTTTTAAACATAATTCAGGACATCATTTTACCTGGCCATACTTTGCTGCCAAATGGAGTGGGGTCCAGTACTGATTATCTACTATGTTGAGATCTCCACCATGTTCCAGGAGAAGAGATACCACCTCCTTGTAGCCACTTGCACACGCCATATGCAACTGCAACAAAGAGAGATTTTGTTACTTACCTTAAAAAGAGCAGTGACGCCAATACAGTTTATTCAATAGCTTAAAGAGAGCTATTTTATAAAGTATTCGATCTAAAATATAGAGACCTTTAAAAAAAGAGAAGATATATGTAATTTTATTTATTTGGTACAAGTGGATGTCATGATTCTTTGAAAAAGGCTTATGGGTTAGTTTTTTATTATTTTCCTTCTGACTTTGACAATCTGCACTTTTTCATGTAATTTCTATTTCCCTCTCTAGTGCCCCCTTACGTAGCCGTCATTTTAACATTCTCTCGGTTTAGTTTCTTACTGCAATCTGAGATCTAGAAATGAGGCCTCAGGAACTAGAAAGACGAGACCAGCATTTGGAGAATTTTTCAGATGGGGGAATTCCTGTTTCTAAGGCAGCAGCTTTTATTCGTGAGTAAACTATCATCACATCCAATTTAAATTAGTTTATTAAGTAACTGCATGATTGAATTTGTAATCATAATAATTAAGAAGAGGGAACTATAAGGAAAAGAAAAAGAAAAACTAATTTAAAAGTAGTAAAACATGACTTCTAGGTTTTGTAGCATGGAATTTTGTAGGTCTCTTCCATTTTTATCAGAAAGACAAAATTACAATAAAGTCAAAAGCCTTATTAAATATCTAGATTTTGATATAATTTAGCAAAAACATTTGCTTTTCTACCTCTATACTTAATTACGTCTTCAATCTACAGTGACACTTATATGTATATTTCTTGTACTTTCAACTATACTAGACCAACAAATATATTCACCTAATTTAAGGCATAGAGATTAAGAGATCGTTTCATATCAATCTTCTTATAATTTGTTACATACAGAATTCATCATTAATATTCTAGTGAACAGTCCGAAGAATAATATATCCACAGGGATTTTAGAGAAATGTAATTTTAAATACTTGTTCTCCTAGACAACTAATCTTTCACCTGCTTCTAAATTTGTTCAACATTATTAAATGATCAGTCAATGATTGGCAGGTTACTCTGTGCCATATGCACTAACATCTGGATCTCAGAATTTCACTTCTAGTCTAAAACTACATTAAGAATGGGTCCATCGGTTGATTAACACCTGATACTAATGATGTCAAGGTCATAGGATCAGCCCCTTAATGAGTAGATTTGCTTTCTGTGCAGCAAAAATTGGGTTTAGCCCAACTCCCAGTCAGTCATCTTATGCCCTGCTCCTAAGGAAAAGACTAGAAGGAAAACATTCTTGACTCACTTAGTAGAAAAGCTATCCAAACATGAGCTACCAGTGATATCTATGGAGGCGGGCAATTTAATCCTAGGTAATTTCAAAACAAAAACCCTACCTTTGAGTACTTCCACCTCATCACAATGTACTGGAATTTGTTAAAATCATCATAACAAAATATCAGGAGCTTAGAGCCCTTACCTTCATTCTATCAGCGATCAACTTCTGAATCCATAAGCAAGTCACTAGACCCCATGGAGTACAGTTTCTCATCACTAAAATTAGCCTTAGAGTTAAAAAATTTAAAAAAGTCTGCTTTTGAAGTGGAATGTATACTCCTACCTTGCCCTGACCATGGCTGGAAGACATCAGGTGCCAAAATGGAACAGTGTTTATCACTGTGGTGTCTCAGAATTCTCCTCTCCTGCTATTGCACAGGGTCTTATGAGAAACACAGAGGTGGTGGTTGTTTCTGTACAGAACTAGCAGCAGCTATTTGAAAGCACGGTTCTCATGGAAAATTATCATGAGTTGGAAATCGCCCATCTAGTTACCATGTAGGACAGGACATTAGAGTGGTTCCACAAACATGATGCACAATTATAAATTATTTCATCTATTCTGTACAACCTGTGGTACAGTTATCATTGTCCTGATTTTGCGGTTGGGAAAATTGTGGCTTAGATAATTTAAGTAATTGGTCCAGGGACACATGGCCATTGTGGTCTGAAACCAGTTCTGATCTCCAGCACTGACATTTTGAAGTAGCAAAGGAGAGTGGACATCCGAGTTGGGCAGGCTAGAGTATAATGCTGCAGTATTAATACTCCTAACAAACCCTGCATTCATCCCATAAATTTATGGATTTTTTTGGCTTTTTTTTTTCCTTTTCTGAGGAAGATTTGCCCTGAGCCAACATCTGTTGCCAATCTTCCTCTTTTTGTTTGAGGAAGATTTGCCCTGAGCTAACATCCTTTGCCCATCTTCCTCTATGTTGCATGTGGGTCACCACCACAGCATGGCCATGGATGAGTGGTGTAGGTCCATGCCGAGGAACTGAACCCTGGCTGCCGTAGTTGAGCACGCTGAGCTTAACCATTAGGTCCTGAAGGAGAATGTTTGTACCCATTCACACTCCATCCAATAGTATGTGAGAGAACTCATTTGCATAGAACTTTAGCTTTTCTTGTCCTCACTATTATTTATTTCTAAAATGATTGCAAATAATTCCCACGTATTTAATTCCAACAATGCCTCCTTTTACATATTTATAGGCTAGTTGTATTTTTTCTTTTGTGAATTGACTCTGATTATTATTTTTTAAATGTTTTTATTGAGAGATGGTCATCCTTTTTTATTAATTTCTATGAACACTGCATATTTTAAAGATATTAACACTTTTAAATACCTGTTGCAAATATTACTCCTGGTTTATTATCTGCCTCCTAATTTTGCTCACTGTTTGACGCATAAATGTCAGTTTTAATTTCCGTGGTAGTCAATGACATGAATATTTCCCCTTGTCTTTTCTCCTCTTATTTTTCTATTAGAAGGGCCTTTGTCAGTTAGGCTTAAGTCCTTTCTTCTATGTAACGTAGAGAATAGGTGCTAATTATTAAGTCTCTTACTCACTCTTGTATTTGTGCATCTCATTTTAAAAAAAAATCTGCGTGTAAAATTTAAAATACACCCCCATTGGATTTGATCTTATTTAAGGTCTGTGACCCCACGAGTCTAAGGCTGGAAGATCACTCTGAGGCTAATGCCATCTTTTGATGAAAACTGTGTCAGGAGTAAATGAAAATCACTCTTGAGGCATAGCAATTCAAATACGTATAAGGATTAATGCAGATTTTTAACCACTAATTTCAGATCTCCCTTAATCTATATTTGTAGGAGAATGCTAACAGAGGATTTTTCCTATCTCAGTTTTGACCCAAGGATGAAGACTATATATAGATACATATCATATCTCAAAGTGAGACCATATACGGAAATTTGAAAATAGTCGTCCAAAAACTGCTTAGATGACTTTTGCCCTCTACCTCAAAACTGAGAGCATTATAGGTTTCAACTGGAGATAAAATGAGAATGAAAATGTTGGACAATTTTTGCAGAGAACTGCCAGTGTGGTAGGAGTCCACTTCCTCCTCCCACGGTGTGTGTGTGGTGGAGGGAGGGACCTGAGTTCCTTCCTGCTTTCAAGTCAAGAGAGACTGGCTTCAGCGACCCTCTAGAGGAGTTATGTGTCCTTGGCAGCTTGGCGGAGATACCATGACTGTTTTTGATCCCTGCCTAGTAAAAGTGAAGGGCAAGAGACGGGCTGGCTCTCTGCTTTGGTGTGCAATGAAGGGGCGTTATTGATACATTCAGATCTATATGCACACTTATGAGTTTGCAGGGGAAAAAATATACATGGAAGTTTTTCCGCAGGCAAGCTGTGTTCATTTCTGCTTCTCTGTCAGAGGGCTGCCTGAGGGAGCCAGCACGGCTCAGCAGAGAGAGGCGGGAGTATCAGCGGATTTCCCAGAGTTGAGGCAGGTGTCAAGGACCATCGTGATGGGCTGCATCCGCCCAGATCTGGTGCCGGCTGCAGAGTCCCAGTGAGGGGCTTGGGAGGTGGTGTCTTAAGAACCCCCTCATCCTCGCAGGAGAAGGAGTCAATTTCTTGCCCAGAGAGCATGATATATCATCTCAAGAAAGGTCAGGTTGAACCTTCCTGCTGTCATTGCGTCTCCTCTTGCCCATCTGTCTCCTCCGCTCTTCCCCTCCTTCAACTCCAGCAACAGCGAAGAGGAAGAAAGAGGCAGGAGTGGCAATGGTTGACCGTGTGCACCCTCCCTTCCATGGACTTCCTGATCTGACACTGGGCTACCCGGGAGTAGGTTCAAGATTTAACTGAAATGAGGGTTTACCACCTGGGCCCACCGGTCCCCGCAGGATCTGTGCATAGAATTCACAGGGTTTGCAAACTTGGGTGAGAAAATGGTTAGTTTTATATTTTTCTAGCCCCAACTGAAATTTAGCAAATTCTTCAGTGATGAACATAGGCAGCACACTCGTGATATTAAAGAAATCCTAATATTTTCATATGATGTTTCTGTTGTAGCAGATATCTCAGAATATTACTCATGTTCAACTCTATTCTTAAGTCATGGTAATTATTAGATCTGTTAGTATGTTAATAAAGAAGCACATGCGTTAAAGATCACAATTTAATTTTAATATTATGGTTACTGTGTTTCAACATAATTGGGTTTACTTGTAATTTGGGCACCATTTTTTAGTACATTAAAAACATTATTCTGGGAGCCAACTGGTGGTGCAGCCATTAAGTTCACGTGTTCCACTTCAGCGGCCTGAGGTTCGCTGGTTTGGATCCTGGGTGCGGACCTATGCACCACTTATTAAGCCATGCTGTGGCAGGCGTCCAACATATAAAATAGAGGGAGGCAGGCATGGATGTTAGCTCAGGACCAGTCTTCCTCAGCAAAAAAAAAAAAAACAAAAAAACCCCAAAAACCAAAAACCCATTATTCTGACAAGGAATCCATGATTACATCAGATGGTAGATGGCTAAAGTGGAGTACAGCAAGAAGATAGTGAGCCCTAACTTCATGCAAGCCAGGAGTTTTCATTTTTACATGGGTCCAGAGATTCTAATCTCTAAAGTGAGGCTATGTATCATTACATAAAGTAACCAAAGAGCTTTATTCCCTAAAAATGACCAGAAATCTAACAGCACTGGCTGAGGCTTCATCCAGAAGTAAGGATTGAACCACTACCACTGAAATACAAAAGGGGGACAAAAATAAAATTGCGTGATATTTGCATCTCATGAATAATTCTTTTCCAACAAACCAAGTAAATACGCCTTAAGGCCAAATGTGATATATCAAATCCTGTGACAAAACAGTAAAGAACCAGCACCTCCAGAATATATATGCTGGTTATAACAGTAGTATTTTCAAAGAGTATTTTTTTATATATACTCAAACTTAAGAACTAATTTTCACATGCTTGGTAACATGACTTTTTTTGGAATTGTATCCTTTTCTGAGGCTTTTGTTTTAATTTAAGAAGAATATTAATGTAAACTAAGTGACCTTTTTAAAAGACCTATGTTATGTTTGGTTATTTGATCGAATATTCTAAGAAAGGAAGAAAAAGTAACATAAAGACCATCTTACTAGAAGTTTATTCCTATTGAGCTTTTTGTTGATAGTTTCATCTCTTGTGTGCATACAATTCAACAGTAAGGGAAATTATGCCCAATTTTGAACCACAGATGACATTCCGACTGGAGATATAAAAATCAGCTTGTGGACAAAAGTGTCTTCTTATTGTTGTCATAACAATAAACAGGAACATACACTAGACATGCACCCTACAGAGAGACAGCTCCAGGGATGGCAGTCATTAACACAATGGACTGACCGACGCAGACATGAGAGTCCAGCTGAACAGTCTCTTGCGAAATGCTGTGATCTTCCAGGGACGACTTCCTACTCTCCTGCTTACTGTTACTTTCCTTGTAAGACGCTCAGAGATGATCAACACAAGATGTAGTTATTATAGAGCAATTATTTGCAATATTTATGTTCTCTATTCAGTAAAAAAAACTCACAAGTAATGCAAAATTGAAGATGGCTGAAAATGAGAGCAATTTATTGCTGTGTATTGATTCTTTCAAGAGCTTCTCTTCTGAAGTATGTAGGTCCTTGTATTTAGCAGTGATTGAAGCATGTATGCTGTTTTCATTTAACAAAAATTAGACTACTGGGGGTGAGCATGATGAAGTGTATTCAGAAATTGATAAATAATAATGTATACCCCCAATTACACAATGTTATAAACCATTAGGATCTCAACAAAATTACTTGGGGAAAAAAAAGTAAAACAAAAACAAAACTAAACAAAAAAATAAAGTTATAATATCTTCTGCCAAACGAAGAAACAAAGACTCTGCTGGCTTTCTCCCATGTGTTAGGCATTAGTGCATTACATACATTAAATGAACTATTAATTAAATAGCTCACTCCAATCCAGATTTTGACCCCACCACTCCACTGAAACTGTCCTAGATGGGCAGACCAACGACCTCCACATTATTAAGTCCAATAGCCAACTGCCATCTCCGTTTACTTGGCCTCTCAGCAGTGCCAGAGACTCTATGATTTCCTCCTCATTGTCACACTTCCTTCACTTGGCTCTGGGGACGTCTCATTTTCTTAGTTTTCCTCCTACCTCAGGAGTTCCTCCTTCTCATCTCCTTTCTGGATCTTCCTCCTTTCCTAGGCTCCATGGCTCAGTCCCAAATCCTCTTTCCTTCTGTGTCAAATTCATGATTCCATCCAGGGACAAGACTTCCAGTATCACGTACATGCTAATGTTCCCAAAATTGTTTCTCCAGTCTAGACATCTCCTGAATTCCAGACTCAACATCCAGCCACAAACTCAACATCTCTGTGGCAATGGCTAAGAGGCACTTCTAACCTCACCTTTCCAAAACTGGTCCTGCTCCTCCCTGCTCTAAGCTCCCTTCGTCCTCAGCTTTCTCTATCCCATTGGATGCCAACTCCATCACTCCAGTTGTTCAAGCTCAATATACTTGGAGTCATCCTGAAGTCTTTTCTTTCTCTCACACCACATTTCCATCAGGAAAACCCAATGGATCTTCTGTTAAGATAGAGTGAAATCAGCCACTTCTCACCACCTCAACTTCTACTGCCTCTTCCTGAGCCACAGCACCGCTTGCCTGGATCACAGGAACAGTCTCCTGACTGAAGTCTTGGCTGCAGTCTTGCCCTCTTACAGCTCATCCTTAACGCAGCAGTCAGAGCGAGAGATCCTTTTACAATGAAAGTAGGATCCGTGTCCCGCCTCTCTTCAGAACTCTCCAGTGTGTTCCCATCTCACTCAGAGTAACTGCCACAGTCCTCACACAGGCCCACAAGACCTTGTGTGATCTAATCTCGGTACCTCTTACTTCTCTCCTATCCTTTACTCGGCTCAGCCACGCTGGCATCCTTGCTGTTTCTTAATCACACTATACCCACTCCCGCCTCAGGGCCTCTGCTCCTATCACTGTCCAGCCTGGAATGCTCCTCCTTCACACCTGCAGTGTGTGCAGACTTCCTTCAGGTCATTACTCAAAACTCTCCTTGTCAGTGACATCTTACCTGTTGGCCTATCCAAAATGTCGACAAAATGCTCAGCACGTCCCTGTCTAGCTTTATTATTTTCTCCTTTGCATTTATCATTAACATGCTATATACTTAGCTCATTTATATTGTATATTATGTGCCTTCCCCAATGAAATGGGAGACCATGACAAAAGGACTTTTGTGGTTTTTGTTCATTATTATTCTGTTCACAGGATGTGGTCAATACATATTTCCTCGATAAGTTAATTAGAATGTTTTAACATTTGAATGTGTTATTTTTCAATAAACTCTAAACATTCCTTGTTTTCTTTTCTTATAGCTTAGAGTTAGATTTTTGATAGTCTCCTGAAACTTATATTCCAAAGGCTGAAAGCAACATCTAAGAAGAGAATTCCATCTAGAGGTCTCAAGGCACACAATCGACATTTAATACATCAAAAAATTTGTCAGATCTCACAAAACTCTCATGCATTGAGTTCAGTCACTTCCTCCATCTACTGTGTTCAGCCTCACGCCATAGCTTTCCCGTGGCAGAAACCGAATCACTGCCTCCAGCCCCTTCTGTGCGCCGCGTGCTTCATAGCTTCATCTTCTCGTCCGCTGCCCTTGTTTACTCTCTTTTTTGTTTTTCCCTGTTTTTTCCATTTATGTCCACCATATTAATTTTAACCTCAGCACGCCTAGTCCAAGTAAATTTTATGGGTCGATAGGGCCAAATGTTCTTATTTAGATGATTAGACATTGTGCTTATATTAAAATTAATCCAAATTTAATTGTTCTGTTTTTAATTTACTGCAGCTGTGCCTGATAGCAATAAAAAAAGTAATGACGTTTGCTTGAATTTAGAAATTCATTTACCAGAGTAACTCACAGTTTGTTTTGCTTAAAATTAAAATGAAAACATTCTCCTACAAGTTCCATCTCAACAATCACATTGACAAAGAAATGCATTAAAAATTTATAAATCTGTAGGAAAACACACATAGAAGGCAGGCTTGAAGAAAATATATCAACATCTAAACATTGTTTTCTCTGGGTGGTGGCATAAGTGATTTGCATTTTCCTCTTTGCATATTTATGTGTTTTCCAAAATTTCTACAATGAATATGCATTACTTTTATTATCAGGAAAAAATACATTACTTAAAAGTTAACTATATCCAATTCCATAGTTTAGAAATCAATTTAAATTCTCTATTTAAGCAATATTTCTGAGTCAGGAATGTTCACTTACCAGAGTCACTCCTTCATCATTTTTCTCGTTAACATTTCCTCCACACGATAAGAAGTGTTTGACGTCGGTTAACATGCTCATTGGCCTCTGAAGTTTCATCTGGCGCAGTGAGGTCAGATCCACTCCTAGGGGAAAAGGAGCTTTTCAAACAGAATGTAGAGATGCTTCTCAGCAACTAGGGGTCAAAACTTAGTTTTATCTTACATTCTTTCAACATGTTCTTCTTTGAAGTCCCTCTCCCACTTTGAATTCTCAAAGCGTCTATAATTATTTGTCCTGGCATCCATCCTATTTTCAGCTAGAGTATGGTCTTGAATAATTTCCTCTTACTATAGCCCAAAGATGGGATACAATGCTTTATATATGCCAGGCTCTCAATGGATATCGGTTTTCGTATAAATAATTAATACACACTGCCCCAGTACCTTTGAGTACTTGAATTGAATTAAGGTGAGTCATAAAGATATAGTTTTTGTTCTCTATGATTTTCTGGCCAAAATAGTTGCTCCTAAAAGCAATGTAGTATCCTGGGATAGAAAAAGGACTTTAGTGGAAAAATCTAAATAAAGTCTGTAGTTTAGTTAATGGTATTGTACCAATGTCAACCTCTTAGTTTGGACAAACTAATCTAATTCCATGGTAGCTTATATCTCTGCATTTATGGATCCCTGTTCCTAGCATTGGTTCCAGGACAAAATAGGCATTTACAAAGGGGAAATAATCCATCTTATTCCAAGTGAAAGTAATAATGATGATGATGATGACATCTCCCTCTCAGCAAGTATTTGCTATGAACCAGCCACTATTCTGAGCACTTTCTATCTCTTGTCTGATTGAGTCCTTGCTGCAAACATGGAGAGAGAGCAGGGCACAGTGGACTCGAGCACAGATGCTGGAGGGATCCTCCTGGCCGTGCTGAGTCTGTGACTGACTTCCCCAGGGTGACTTTGGGAAAGCTATTCAACATGTCTGGTCTTCTGTATCCTCAATCACTCAGATAACAACATACATCCCAATGGAGCAAAGCTATAGGTAATATTTATAAGATCTGTCTACACGGCAGAGACCATATTAGCACGTTGCCTCTGTGCTATCATTTTCCCCTTAGAGCCCACCAGGTCTGCCTTACTGCATAGCCTGTTGTCTGAGTCTGGATGGACACAGAGCACAGGCGCTCAGGAGTCAGCCTGCCTGGGTTTTAGTGCTGTGTCTTGCATTTAAACTATTTGTGCCAATGAGGGCAGGCAACTTTTCCTCTGCCTCAGTTTCTCCATTTGCAAAATGGGGCTGAAACTTCTTGTTTCACTAGTTGTGAGGAGAATGAGTTAAAACACATAAAGAAAACAAATAGTATTTAGCTTGCAGTAAGCACTCAGTAACAGTGAGCTGTCATTATTAGTCAGCCTTCTGGTATAGGGATTACATGCTATTCATTTAGGGAGATTTTCTCTGTTATAAGGAGGCAGAGAGAAACCAAACAAAATAAAGCAAAACGCAATATTTGAATAAGGTACCTTGTTCAAACACTCTGTTCAAAGCCAACCCATTTAGCAGAGAAATGAAAGAGGAACCCATTAACCATACCTCTGCTTCTGAGCCATCGTGCCCCATTTCAGAAGAACTGACACATTTCCCTTACAGGCACATCTGAGGTTTGTTAAGAACCAACTAAAACTGTCACTCTATTCTCATTTTTAGGATAATGGAATTTGACATGTGAGTTAATTTGGGAAAATATTATTTCTCAGATGCCAGTGTTCAATTTTGCACATTGAAGCAGCAGAAGGATCTGATGGTTACCCTACTCCAAGGCTACATTATTTTAACTTTTATAATGTTGCAAAGTTTACTGAAGTGGTATATATCTTTTAGATAATTATTTAAACTGTAATTAAAATTGAGTGATAAAAAAAGATTGGGTTCAGGGCCAACCTGGTGGCGCAGTGGTTAAGTTTGCACGTTCCACTTCAGCGGGTGGTCTGGGGTTTGCCAGTTTGGATCCCAGGTGGGGACCTATACACTGCTTGTCAAGCCATATTGTGGCAGATGTCCCACATATAAAGTAGAGGAAGATGGCCACGGAGCTTAGCTCAGGGCCAATCTTCCTCAGCAAAAAGAGGAGGATTGGCAGCAGATGTTAGCTCAGGGCTAATCTTCTTCTTCAAAAAAAAGAAAACAAAAGATTTGGCTCAAAGATAAAAGAGAAATTAAGACAGAGAGGTTAGCTATCACTTATTTCAGACTCATTTAAGTACAACACATTATGGGAAAACAATCTATTTCTGGTCACTGTTGTGAAGATATCAGAGGAGAATACTATGACATTGTCTTAAAAATTAATTTTAAATCAAATATGATACCAAATGTGATTCTTAGATTTTTGTTATATGTTCAGGAAAAAAGAACAAGTTTATTTCTGGTAATACAATAGAATGGAAATTCCCTCTCTTTTTGGTCAAAAAATTTCTTAAGCTCCTCCTGGCAAACACAGCTATAGCCCATAAGAAGTCTATTTCATAATGGATAATGGGCCAATCCTCTCTTCTTTCAAAGAAACTAGGTTTCATTTCCAGACTCTTTTCTGAAAAAAAAAAAATTGATGTAAGTCCTGCTTAGATTTATTATTTTGACAGGAATTTGGTAATTTCTTCAAATTTAGGAAGTAAGAAATAAAATCATTTACCTCAAATTCACAAGTTATTCCATGTGATATTAATTACTGCTATCTGATTACATTTGATAATATCAATAGAAGCTCATACAAAACTGAAACTACATTAACACCTTGAGTCACTCTCAAACCTATCTGAACTTTCCTTATCTGTCCCTCATAAGACAATACTGTTTTTTTTAACAATTCAACTTTTCCTTTTCTCCATGATCCATTTCGTATTGAGGGTACTGTATGCCTCAATTATAGATAATTTTATCATGATGCTGACTATGATATGACCCATCCCATGATCTTAGCATAAGATTCCCTAAACCCCTAGAGTTGAATCTAACCCCAATTTTTGTCTCCATAGTAAGCTTCCCAAGGGATCCAACACTTGAAGGAAGCAAAAAGAGTTGAGCAGGCAAATCAACAAAGTTGGTCTAGCAAAGAGAAACAGACATGTTCAAGCCCAAAGGATGTTGTCACCCTCTACCCCATCCCTTTCCCCAACCCTGACCACAGGCATAATGTGGGACTGCCCCAAGAAAACTGGGATGCACTGTCACCCTAACAATGGTGATTCTGATCAGGTCAGTGCAGGGATAGTGTTGTGAGTGGACATTTAATAAGCAGAAGAAAGATACAAGGACATTTGTGGACTGATTAACCTGGAGTACTCTGAAGAATGAATAGGGAGGGCTAAGACTGGAGCAAAAAGACCACTTTCCAAGGCTGGTTCAAAACAGAAAGACCAGGGTTTTAACTAAGCCAGTAACAGGAAGATTGGCAAGGGAGGTGTACGTATTAGACAGATGTAAAGGAAGTAGAATCTGCAAGATTTGGTGACAACTCGATGTGAGAGATTTAGAAGAAAAGTGACGTTCAGATTCTTGGATTCCTGGCTGTAACGGTAAAATGGAATATAGACAGAGTATGAAAGGACAACAATAAGTTCCATATTGGACGTGTTATTTCAAATTGTCTGATAGCCAAGTCAAGATACTTAATAAAATTGCATGTACTAGGCTGAAGGTCTTGAATGATATCCAAGCTACAGGAATACTCTTGGGAACAGGCAGATGGTAACAATGCAAGGAAGAGGGTGAGATAAGCTAGGAACAGTGTGGAATGATAGAAGATACTCAGAGACAAAGCCCTAGGAACCACCCACATTTGGAATCCACGGCGTCTGGACGTCCAAGTGGTGCATACAAAGCAAACTAAGCAGAAGCTCAAAGAGAAGGGAAGAAAACTATGGAAATATCATTGCAGGTAAGAGAGATTTCATAGGAGAGTGTGATCAAGGTTATCCAATGTCACAGGACATGAGGATATAGGAGGATGGAAGTGATGGCTGAGTAGAGTACCAAGGAGGGCAATGGCAGTCATTGTAGGGACATTGCCATGGATCCACAGGGGCAGAAGCTGAACTTCAGTGGGCTGAGTGGGGGAGATTAGGAATTCAAGAGAATAAACATGAGCTGCTTTTCCTGAAAGGATGAATTTAAAAGGAAGGAGAAAGGGCAGTGGGTGATGATGTATGTAGAGCAAAGTAAAAACTTTTGTTTTATTTATTTTTCAAGGACTTGAAAAAAATTATATAGGTATTTTTCCCATGGCGAGCATCTGTCCTGGACCACCTCGAGCTCTCCCAGCAGTGCTTTCTTTCTTTGCTGGTTCATTTTACAATCAATTGCTTTCCTTGAATGCCATCTGGTTTGCCTAGCACTGGAGATTTAATATGCATCAAATGCTCGATCAGCCTCCATGGCTATCTCGTTTTCCAGCCCAGGAAGCTGAGGCGGTGAGCTGAGGTTAATTGCTGTGCCCGGGTGTACAGTGTACGTCAGCAGTGACAGTACAATTAGAACTTGTGACCAGCAATTTTCCATGTAATCAACTTGCTCACGACCTCACCTGCCTCCTGCCACATGTGTCCTGATGTGACAGCACGATAAGTACTCTGATTTGAAACTGTATGATGCGGAGCACAAATTCAAATATTGCAACCACCTGGTTATAAGAATGCAGTGCTGAAACACCGGGCACCAAATAATCATAAAAATCTCATCTCAGAATATTGGAAATTTCTAAGGACATCAGCCCACACTGTCAGAACAGATAACTCTAAATGTGCACCAACAAAGGGACCAGAGAATAAATCGTATTAGACAGTATTTACTGGAATTATGGCAGCTGAGACAGATAAGTAGGAGGGACACTGGCAGAAATGGAACCAGATTGTGAATGAGGTGAGGGAGGGGCAAGACGGATGGGAAGGCAGAAGCCAGTGCGACAGCAGTGACAAATGGAAAACAGAATTAAAAATTTAAGAGATATTAAATTGAATTTGTTCCAGTAAACATGTATTTTACAAACTGATTGTGACAGCCATTGTTGTGACAGATTTTCTCCTAACTATTCAGAGTCAGTAACTTCCTCTCCTTTTTTTCCCTTAATCATTTTTTTTTTTAAAGATTTTTTTATTTTTTCCTTTTTCTCCCCAAAGCCCCCCAGTACATAGTTGCATATTCTTCGTTGTGGGTCCTTCTAGTTGTGGCATGTGGGACGCTGCCTCAGCATGGTCTGACGAGCAGTGTCATGTCCACGCCCAGGATTCGAACCAACGAAACACTGGGCCGCTTGCAGCGGAGCGCGCGAACTTAACCACTCGGCCACGGGGCCAGCCCCCTTCCCTTAATCATTTTTGAAATCAAACTCTCAAAGGATTGCACGGATTTTTCTTTACATAAGACAGATAATCCTGCTTCTGCAAATACTAACATTTCTTATCGAACAAAATCCTTTAATGAGTTGGAAGGTTTATAAGTAACGTTGATTCTTTTGCAAATAAATATACTTATTTTAGTTTCCAAAGAGAAATGTTTATTACTGTGCCTATTAGAAATTCAGGACGATCAGAAGAGCAGGAAGCAATCCTATGGAACTGGCACAGCTAAATAAAACACAGCCAAGTCCTTCATTCCAATGCAGAATTGGGCACTGCCAAGTCCGATTTTGCAGAGGTCCAAATAATAAACTTCTCAAGAGTGGAATGTGCATAACTTTGAGCATCGTTCATTTTAGAAGTAATAGAATCTGTCTTCAACAAGTCACAATGGACAAGACGTGAAGAAACCATGCCATCTCTCATGTAGGTGCGAGAACAAGGAGGGAGGGAGATGCCGAGGGAACCAATGGCTACACCACACAGCCTGCATCCCATGCCGCTCTGTCACCCAAGCCTTAAGTGTGACCTTCAGTGGCACAGCTCTGCTCACATTTTCTGTAATGAAGATAATAGTATCTACCTTGCTTTCAGAATTAATGAGACTATATTTTAAGAATTCATGGCTGCTAAGTACTAATTATTATTATTCCAAGCCACCCCATCCTTTGATACAAGCGATCTGGAGAAGGCAAAAAGCAGAGCGAACAAAGAGGCAGATGTGGGGCTTTCTTAGAGGCGAGAAGGATAGAGTCAGAAGCACAGCGTGGCTCTTAAAATTCTTAACCTTTCTCTGACAGAAGATCATACTCAAAGGGATTGGAATTTCTTTGTTGTTATTTATACTTAAAAAAGAGAAAGAAAAAAAGAAGGGGCCATTTCTTTAGTTTAATATGATATCAGGCTCAAGCTTTCAAGTACCTCCCACTTTGCTGATGCTGAACTTACTCATGAAATTATATGCTGAGACTGTGCAATTAAACGTTCTTCGTCAGTGAACACATTTGGGGGCTCAGCCGCATCTTTGCAGGCTAGCATCGTGATAGTGGGGCTTTCTTCTAACAACGTTTGTTTTTCCAAGTGTCACTACGAGTGGATGCTGGGATGCTGTGCAAACTGCCCCTGACTTAAGCCTTCACTTACCTGCGTGTAATTGTTCCGAGGACCATCTGCTCCTAAGAGAATACACTTCAGATGACCTTGCTCTCATTAACTCAAAATTCAATTGTGCTGGTTCACTTCCCTTCCCATCCCAGTGGAGAATAGATTATAATTACAAAGACAGTCCCACTAATTATGGACTTTAGATGCTTGTTAAAATGTTCCTTCATTGTTGGCCTCTAGATTTCTGCTGGCTTGCAAAACTGCATTGACTAGATCCAAGATGCATTGCAGTAGGAGCAATGAAATGCTGTATAGACCTATCCTTATTTGACACAATCTAGGGAAACTGCACCACTCTAAAATCATGTAAGCACACCTAAAAATGTATATACACTTATCATTCTACCACTGTATCTTTTCATCTATCTTTCCATGGTTTTTCAAAGCATCAGCCCACCATTTTCATCCAGATAGGCCAATAGGATAGAGCTCGATTCCGTCCCTTCTACGGCATAGTCCAATGGGATATTTCCATTGACATCCTGCAGAAGGACATTGGCTCCAGCCTGTGAGTGAAAAGAACAAATATAACATCATGTATAGGTTAACACAGAAAGCTGATCAAAATTTCATTTCTATCTTAGTCGAGAAACAGACCAGAAAAGTTTACATTAGATATAACCCTGCAGAATCATGTAAGAAACTGGAATTAATTTTTAAGACAAATACATGAAATATGTTGTGAGAAACCCTGATGGTCTAAAAATATTCAACAGATCCTTACAAGACCTTAGTCCCAAACACTTCTGCCCACCCCTCTTTCTAAACCCTAAATATCCAATCCATGGCTGCTGAACCATGCATACCTCTGAGCTGGCTGCCCCATAGCCTGTCTTGTTTCTAACACAACAGAAGTGCCCCCTGCCTTCAGAGAGTCGAAATGGCAAACTCTTCTATGAACTCAGGCTGACCTGCCCCAAACTATCCTATTAAATCTTTAGGCACCTTGCTCTCCACAGAAACTCATCTGAGAGCTGTTCTCATACTATGATGTTCTAATAAAGGCTGGGGCTAATGGCTTCTGGTTAGTTTTTCTCTTTCCAGAAAGTGTTTTATAACAAAAAATATAATCTGAAGACATTAATGGATGGAGTATATTAATTATGGCTATGATACGTCTTTCAGCTTCACATGTCCTCCATCAAGCACCTCTGAGCATCCTGAGCACCCTTTGCCCATCCCAGCTTAAGTACAGTAACAGAGGGGCCAGCCAATGGTGGCATAGTGGTTAAGTTCACACATTCCACTTCAGCGGCCTGGGGTTCACAGTTCAAATCCCGGGTGCAGACGTACACACTGCTTATCAAGCCACGCTGTGGCAGGTGTCCCACATATGAAATAGAGGAAGCTGGGTATGAATGTTAGCTCAGGGCCAATCTTCCTCAGCAAAAAGAGGAGGACTGACAGCAGATGTTAACTCAGGGCTAGTCTTCCTCCAAAAAAAAAAAAACCCCAAAATACAATGATAGATGTGCTTTTGCTCTTAAAAAATTGGTTACATAAATTGCCACCATTGCTCCACATTCTTTAATGAGCTCCATAAAATTTATCAGGCATGGTTTGCACCTTTTCTCCAAGGGCATGGCATGAACATGTACCCATTGTCCAAGATTTCTCATGTGCCTCTCACTAACATGTCATTAAACTCAGGCCAGACAAATGAAAGTTCCCCCTATCCTTTTTACTGAATAGGAGTCTGTATTGCAATGTTAATATAGTTAATATAGTTCATATAATATCCAAATTCATAACTTTACAGAAAAAAGTATGTCACACTTATAACCTTACATATTAAAATGTGGGATTTTGCCTTTTGTTATTATATATATGCCTATGAGTATATATATAAATAGCTTGTATATATATACATATACAGGTTTTCCAAAGGACTGCTCTAAATATATTATAAAAACAAAACAAGGGGCTGGCCCGGTGGCACAGCGGTTAAATTTGCACATTCTGACTCGGGGGCCGGGGTTCGCCGGTTCGGATCCCGGGTGCGGACATGGCACTGCTTGGCAGGCCATGCTGTGGTAGGCGTCCCACATATAAAGTAGAGGAAGATGGGCATGGATGTTAGCTCAGGGCCAGTCTTCTTCAGCAAAAAGGGGAGGATTTGTAGCAGATGTTAGCTCAGGGCTAATCTTCCTCAAAAAAAACCAAAAAAAAAAACCCAAAAGAAACAAAAGGTAGATTAAAGTGGTCAAATACCCCATATTTTAATATTTTCCCTCCAGATAAACTGTGTTGCCAATTTCACCATCTTAACTGTACCACATTACATTTTCTATAACCATATAAAGATACTCTTTATTTGAATAGAGCAAGTTATATCTTTCAGATTTTCACTTATCTGAGGAAAACATGTAATTTTAAGGTACTAATGACTTCAAATTATCCTGCTAGTGCATTTAATTTTGGTTTAGTTATTCAGAGTTTGCAAAGAAATTACTTGAGGCAGTATTCTTAAGTAGACTTTGCTAAAGATTCCTTTCCTTTAATCTTCAAACACAAGAATAAGATTTTGCATACCTGCTCAAGCATTAATTGTTAAAGAATCAATTAAGACATAGAACTGCAGGGTGTTGTTACTGATTTCAACACTGATAGGTGGGAGATAATCAAGTTATTCTTTTTCTCCCAATACAAAAATCTTTCAGATAGAATCTTATCTATGCCAAACATCTGGGCACAAGGCGACAATGAACATAATTAAGAGTCATATATTATCAATAACAGCAAAAACAAATAGGAGAGCAACTTCGCGTCCAGGAAGGTCATGCACTTGGAGAGAATATTTTCTATTCTTTAAGAAGTCACAAAGCTCTTTCAAAGAAAGTCTGAAATTGAATCATGGCGCTGAATATTTTCACTGGGCTCATTCATTGAAATTGAAATAGTCACCTGCTCGTCTGTGCTGCTGAATTACCAGGTATTATTCCTTATATAAAAGTTGGACTTCCCTGGGGGCTGGCAACTTCCCTAACCACAGAGCCCATGTTATTCCTCTTTATATTCCCAACACTTACTACAGTGCCTGGCACGTATTAGGTACCAAAAAAGATTTATGGATACAAATTGAAAAATAAGAAGCCAAACACTGAACTTAACCTAATTATTAAAAATTGAGGCAAAGAGTTGTAATTTTCCTAATAATTCTTTTAAACTAAATTTTGACCTCTATTTTCAAGGATGTATATATACAATTTCAAAATCACTATGTGCATATGTATGGGTCCCATCTTCTCTCTTTCCAGATGGATGACATTTGTGAAAGACTCTTTCTTTCCTTCTTTCTCTCTCCCTCTCTCCCTCCCTCCCTTTCTTCTTTTTATTGCCACTGGACGTGGGTGACAGTGCCCAACCTGCGGTGGCCCTGGAGCTCTGCCCCCACTGCCTCTGCTCCTGGCAGATGTCCCTAGATGGGCTGGGCTATGTGTAATAAGAACATAGATCCTAAAGGATCCCCTGAGAAGCTGTATTTCTTGAATTAGAATTCTGAAACTGTACATCTATTTTAAAAAACACCATTGATAAGATTCATGGTTGATTAGCATTCTTAGTCTAACTCAAGTATTAATGCTCAATTTTAGTTGTTAATGGATCCCACTGGAAATACAGAGTTGATGACGTGTAGAGCAGGACTTTTCCTCAAAATGTCAGAAGACCTCTCTCAACACCATCGGGATGGTCTAATTTCTAGCATACGTAAAGGGAAATAATTCTTTACTAGAAATTATGAGGTATTCTGTTAATAATTATTTTAAAAAATACTTTGAACTACTCTGGAATATAAAATAAATTTTCTCAATTTTGTGAAGTTACAGCTAACAAATAATTCAATTCAACAAAAATATCACTCTTGACATTGTCTATTTTTATTAAGAGAATTTGAAAAAACATGTATTCAAAAATATAATTTTTTCTCTTCCAAGGCACGATATTCTTAAATATCTTTTTCAAAAATAATGTTCTTTTTACATTTCATATTTCATTGCACTGATGTAAGCACCCACTATATGATTTTTCAGCTATGAATATAAAAGCCAGAGCAAAGTTCTCCTGAACTGGTGCACATATTAATTATATTGTTTCCTTGGCTATACGTCTCAGTCCTTTCAGTACAGAATGAGAACCCCAACAGTAAACATTGACTTTAATTTTCTCGTGCGTTGGTGTGTGTGTTTGATTTTATGCATCATTGTTTTATTTCAGGTGATGAGAACTAGGAGGAGCTAAGGGGTTTAGACTAGATTTTTAAATACAGGACAAAGAATAGGCAAGCCTGCATTTATTTTATGATACAGAAACAATTGCCTTAGTAATCACTACACATTTTCTAAATGTAAAATATTTTAAAATAACTGAAGGCTGTAAATTATAAAAACATACGGATTAACAACTGTGTGTGTAAAAAAGATATTGAGAGTAAAGTAGATGGAAGACATGTATACTTTCCCATGATTCGAGAAAACTAATTTATATTCGGTGCCCATGGATCCCCTAAGCCCTAAGGGGGTGTGTGTGTGTGTGTGTGTGTGTGTGTAATATCTTCCTAGTTTACATTCCTATACCCAATCACCAGATGTCAAATTTTTGAAACTGACAGCAGTTATCACCCTTTGTCTCACTGAAAGAAGAAATTCCAAGTTAAGAAAAACTTGCACTAGTAAGAACAGCTCAATGAAAATATCATCTTTGTGCAATACAGCCTGGGAGGCAACCCTTTCGGTTTGTCTTCAAGAAAATCAGCTAATCACAGCCTGATTGGTTTTCATCAAGAAAATTAAAGTAATCAATGCTACATGTGCAAAGTCCACAGAAACTCCTCAAACACTTTCTGCGGTGGAGGACTGGACTGTGCCCCCGGGAGCAGGGAGTGTATTTCCCCTCCTTCAAGCTGGAAGGCTGCTCCACTTCCAATTCATCAGGAACCACGTTCCTGGAGTACTGGCAATGGAGCTCAAAGATCTCAGCCCCCCACGGAGGGATCTTATTTACTACTGATCAAACGACATGTGAAAAAATAAGTGGACATTCCCTGTAAAGAAACAGTTTATCAGTTTACTTTATGTAGCAACTTAGTGTCAATGAATATACTTATTTGTTTCATTTAGTAATAATTCTCTAACACACTAACACTGAAATTTTAATGAGAAGTAACCAATGACATTTTAATAAACAGACACCACTTTTTATACGCTAACACTTTTTGGTAATTTTAAATTTTGATGTAAATTCAAGTTTACTCAAAGTTGCAAGAGTAGTACATAAAATTCCTGTTTACCTGCTTTGGGTTGAATTGTATTCCCCAAAAAAGAAAGGGTGAAGCCCTAAGCCGTCATATGTAGGAATGCGTCCTTATTTGGAAATATGATCACTGCAGATGTAATTAGCTAAGTGAAACCGAGGTCGTACTGGAGTAACCTACATGGCTGGTGTCCTTATAATAAGAGGGGCATTTGGAGATGAATATACAGACCGAGAGGGAAGATGGCCAGGTGAA